TTGCACCGATTCACACTCTCTGGCCACCTCACGTCCTCACCAATGCTTTGTCAGAACATTTATGCACTACCTGTGCATGTTCACCAATGCGGCCAGGCAATCCATGCTCAAAACGTACAGGCAGTAAGTATTACTACTACTACTACTCCTGTGTGCATGCTCTCTCCTGTTGCCTACCTTGTCGTCTCTTGTGTTCTGGCCAATGAAAACCCGTGCACGGTCGCACGACAAGGCCATGAATGCTTCACGTGCAGTCAGGCGTCAAAAACTTTCTTGGCGATCAATGGTCACAGGTCACCGGTCAATGGCTCCACCGGCCGCGTGCGTATGTGCATAGTCAAGTCTTGCCAATCATGTCATGCGTCTCTTTAGCAATGCAATATATATGTGCATATTTTACATGAGACTATATAACCAACTTTCACTAATGCTACTATGTGAGAGGACCCTGCTCCTGCTGGGAACAAAAATTAGATTAGAACACTGTCTCGGTCCTCTGCATCCGAAAATGAGCAGGAAAGCAACAAAGTGGTCATCCATTCCCGCCAAACCATGCACAAAGAAGATTCCTAACCCTTTTCTGAAAAGGAGTCTGGAACACCCAGCTTTCGTGTAATCGTAACGCACACGACCATATTTCATTTAAGTTGATGAAGCCGAAACTATCTACAAGTACATAACATAAGATTGAATCATGTAGTGGGACACCCCCTCCCTCCTCCATCATTGTTAGGAAAAAACCCAACACAACGATGCCAGCAGTAAACTGTTCCTACCAACCTGTGGTTGGATGGTTAGTGGGACAGTGGTATCCCCAGCCAACCAGGATTCAAGTCCTGGTGCTCGCATTATTCCTGAATTTATTTCTGGATTTTCGGCGATGTGCTTTCAGTGGGAGGAGACGTTCCCGTCAACAATAGGCGCCTACGGTGACTTCGTAAATCTCAAGATGATATGCCGGCTCAGTCTCTCGAAACTGCTCATATGGGTAGGATGTGCGCATGTGCGTTCATAGGGATGAGTGAATGTGCGTATGTATGAGCGCTTGCGTCTATATTGTATTAAAAAAAGCAGCAAAATCTTCCTACCGCCATGCCCATGCACCGGTTACCATACAATGCACTCGACGCACAAATTAGCTTCGCCTCTTCTCATTTTTCATGTCTATTTTGCATGGTTTCCTGCAAAGTTGGTACCTACTTGTATTGTTTTGCACTTCATTAATTTTTTCAATAACAAGTGAGATAAAATTCTTTAGGGCTAGCCAAATCTGATTGTATGGATAGTGTGTTGAGTAATATAAGAGTTTACCCGCAATTTTTTATAGCATTTGCCAACAGACTTCAGTAACTAACCCTCATTTGCATCAAATGTGGTCAAAAAAATCAAGAAGGAAAGAACATGACACTAGCAAAATATAGTGTGTATAGATTTCCTTTTTCAAAATTCAAGTTTCATAAAATGTTTGACAAAGCTTTTTATAGAAATTATGTACATATAAAATACAAAATAAATATCATTAGATACATCGTGAAATATATTTTTTATGTTGTATTTATTTTGTATTATGTTGATATTTTTATCTAAAATCTTGGTCAAACTTTGTGAAGATTAATTTTGGAAAAAAAAATACACACGCTATATTTTGGAAGGAAGGATCTGATCGACTGGCTTTCTTTCCCCTTAGGTTTCACTCTAGATCCTTGATGTTTTCTTATATCATTGGTACTGTTATTATTATCATCATCATCATCATCATCATTATTATTATTATATCTAATATAATCACATAGTTAAGGCTTTTTTAGAGAATACATATTTATTGCAAGGTATACAATTACATTGAAAATCAATTTTGAGATAAACATGGACCAACATTTTTGTTTCCGATGGGAACTACACACACATATATGCTTCAACATTTGATTCTTATATGTTCTTTTTATTTTCTTATCAGATCATTAGTTATACACGATGTAGCTTGAAACTTAGTAGTTCCCCTTTTAAGGCAAGTGTAGCTAGCTGGCCTGATGATAAATTGATCATATTATCCATACATAATGCACAAATGATGGGAGTACTATAAAGAACATGGGTGCTTATGCCTGCACTTTCCTAAAAGAAAGTGGGCATCAGCATAACTCGAAATAATTTTACAGTGCACATTGTACAAAAGTATGACCACTACCAAAATTTTGCCAACAAGATGTAAACAGATTCCTGATTTTACCAAAAAAAACATGTACACACATCTACAAATAGTTGGTATATTTTGTCCAACAATATATAATTTTGCGTACATCACAAACATGTGTACCTTTTGCGCATTGCAAGTAGCCATTCTTTTTGTGAGAGCAAGTACTCGCATTCTAATACACAACAAACATGATTCCTGTTTTAAATGTGAAATGTGCAATTGCACGTAGTTGCTAATGAGTGAATTTTACAATGTGTCTACTTAAAAGTCCGTACTTAATGAACGACACCTCATTTTTGCGACAAAGACATATATATGTGTTGACTAAAAATCTGGCACCCCATCTACGACCGGTTTCTCTGGTTAATCGCCGAACATGGTCTGACCACTATTCGGAGCATATCCTAGGCTAGAATGTGACAGTGGAAGAAATTTGAATCGGACTAGGTGTGGCTTCATGCATGGATTTGTGTCTCTAGACCCATTCAATCCAAGGGGAAAAGCATGACCACCACAGAATGATTTGTAGGGTCCAATTTTTGTTAGAATGGAGAGCAACTTGTTGGTTTCCAAGGGAAAACCTTTTCCATGGTTTCGGACCAGCAGCACACAGTATCAGACCCAACAAGTTGCTGGCTCAAGTTTCCATCTCCAACCAGCCTCTTGCAACTTGCAACCTGTTCAGATCAAAGGACAACCAACTTGTCCCTTAGCTGGCCATAGCTATTCGATCACCTTTATGATCGATCGATGTGTATGGTTCAAAGAATGGAGCTTATTGCCACTTGCACCTAGAATACTATAGTAGGTTTCTGGTGATCATATGTTGAGCATATGCAGATTCAAGGAACCTCTACTCCATATAGAACTAGGCAGCAGGCAAATTCTGTGGATGGCGTCACAGATGCATGCATGGACAGATAAGAATTGTAAAATTCACACCCTCTTTCATTTTAATATCACCTTGATGATATCCCCTGCTGCAACTTGCATATATTCTGCAGCTGGAGATCGTCCATTGGTTTTGGTCCATGCATGCAAGAACGCATGCTAGCTGCAGACGCAGTGTTGGTTTGGTCAAGTTCATGGAATCCACTCGGAGCGTATGTGGAGAGTAGACTTTGACAGGAAAATTTTCCAGGTCTGGGGAGTTTGGAGTTAACTTGTGGCAACGTCCTAGCTGCTTCGCATTGCGCACATGCACAGTTCATGCATTTCATGGGCGTCTTATTATTTTAGCAACACTAATACTCACTCCGCTTTCGCAAACAGATGGCTTCCTGGAAAACGTGCAATCTAAACTTTTAATAACAAAAGGTAGCAATCAACTGAACATATTGGAGTTGTTCAAAAAAAAAACTGTACATATTAGAGAGTGTTTCAATGTATAAAAGGTTAACACGTAAAACAAGGGCTATCTGCAAGTGCATCTCAATATTAGCTTCTAAAGGCTGGGCCACGCTTCAAATTCAGGGTTTTGACGAAACACTCTTCCACTAGAAATCACATCTTCAACTTTAGAGAACAAGGACAAAAGAAAATTGTAGGTATACTAATTTGTAGGATGACGCGTTGAACCTGCAATTTTTTTTCTGTTTGGGAGATTTCACAAAATGGGATAACAGCTGTTATTCCCATGAGATAGTACGTGTACTTAATTTGTAAAACTGTATGTATGAAGTAAAATGCACAAAATAACTGTAATATTGATGGTAATTCCCAATAAAGGAAATTAGTATCATCACCAAGTACATTTTGTCTGCACTGATCAGTTTCCTCAGCATCTTATTGATTAATTAACTCGGATACGTACCGCAATTTGTTTGATGTCACTTGCGGCTGGAATATCTTGGCACGTCATCAAACTGGCGGCACCTGAGAGAAAAACAAGGAGGCATTAGCTACTAGCTAGCCGTGGTTTTCTTTTCCCACCATGGGAGACTGTCCACTTGGCAGGTTTTGAAACCCGCCAAAGCTATGGAAAGGTGCTCCAAGTTGGAATTGCCAAGTGGATTTAGATTATTGGTGAGAAGGACATACCCCGTTTACATGCATGCATGAACATCTTTTGTGTCTTGTGCTTTGTAGTTATATTGTTTATATAAACACAATTGGACACGTTGGTCCATTTGCTAGTGGTTTGGTTCTTCCGAAATGCGCATCTAAAGGAAGAAGAGTCGACGAAAACATGTCGTCAAGCACGCGTTAGAGGACTCTTTTGCGTGGATGCATTCATCTTCCTCGCAATCGAAAGAAATGGTAGAAGCATATACCTCCGTGGGGCTAGCATGTACTTGCCAGCACTGATCTTATTAGCTGTTGAATTTTACGGCAATTAAGACCTTCTGGAAAATCAAGTTGTGTGCTTTCTTGAGCAGACCAATGAAAGCTCCAGCAGCCCGTCAGGGAGCGTACGACATGTAGTAATGATACTGCAACTGTTGCAAGTCTCGTACCAACTAAATGTAGATCCAATTAGTAACTAGCATCCGCGCCTGAGGCTGAGCCCCACAAGGTACCAATTCATAAAAGTTTACAGGAGGTACCACTGAATCCACAGGACAACGTATAATTCAGCTGTCAAGTGGAGCTTACATGATTCAGGTCTCGTTGCAGGTAGCCCGGCACAAAACTTGACACACCCCGTCGAAAAGAGTAAAAAGTAATTTTAGATGCGACATTAATTATGATCTAAGGGCACAACAAAAGTTGCACAAAAGAAAATTAGGAGAAATAGATGCAAGAGAAACTGAAAACTACTACTATCAAGCTACACCACAAGGACTCCCCACCTTAAGAATCATTACTCCTTGGTGCACTTATTGAGTACAGAGAGTACTTGCGGCGCATCAACCGTCCTCGCCGAACTCATTCCTATACTTCTTGTGTACCTCCGTCTTGACAACGGTCGACCTCTGCCAGCTATGATCTTCTTGACATCGGTCTTTTGGATCAGGGGTGAAAGAATCTGCAACCCAGCAATACACTTGAGAGACTCAATTCAACAGAGATCTTTTGGAGGAAATGTCATCTATAGTATCTTACCTGTGAGGCGATCAGGCGCCTTTGGATGCAAGCTCCTCGATCGTGGTCTGTATAGCGCCACCATCAGTCCAAAAGAAGAACATTGCGTCCTGTGTCTTGCACACGGGCTCAAACAACACATCTTTCACCTGTTAACAAATACTAGCAAGAATTAGAAACTTGTCACATTGTACAGAGTACAGACACACCTCAGGATTGTGCGAAACAACTTCTGCTGTTACAGAGAGCGATGTCGGAACCAAAAAATCCATCTGTCCCACGACCCAAGACCTCAAAATCACTTTCCCATGAGCTGTGTGCTGTATCCCCAAAGATGGACCTGAGTGGATTGCGAAGGATCATGACAACCTTTCTAAACAGAACTTTTATGTAGTGTGCACAGATGTTTCTTCAGTACCTTAAACCTATGCTGCATTGCTTGCGAGTCAGGTAAAGGAATGTAGATACGCTTGTCAAACTGTCGCTGCACAGCCTGAAATAATAAATATATATCAATTGCCAAACTGCTCAAGAGATATCAAGAGAATCTTTATAAACCTAAATGGCACAAGTGTATTTGACAAGTCTTCAGAAACCTGGTCCAGAGCATATGGCGTACTCGTAGCAGCAAGAACAAGAACTTCATAATTACTATGGCCAACACCCTGGACAGTTACAGAAAAACAAGCAAAATACTTTATAATTACTATGGCCAACACCCTGGACAGTTACAGAAAAACAAGCAAAATTCCTAACCTGTTTGGGTGAGGAATCTATACTACTGTGTTTGGTACCAGATATCCAGTGTTATAACTAATAGCCAGTGACCGGTCCAGTATTAGCCAACACTGTTTGCTAAGGAATCTGTGGGGACAACGGCTTGACCAAAATCAAATGGAAATATGCTCATTTTTTCTCTTAACATGCAACAGTAGTGGTGAAGTAGAAAAAGCTAGACTCAATCTGTACACGGAATGTGTCTGGCTATTACTTCTCCATTTCTGAACTATTGGAATCATTACCATCCTAAGTACAAAATTCCAACTAAGCACGTCCAGTCGCCATGTTCTGCAGCAGAAGGCACATTCAGAAACAGTTCACAACATTATAGGCTGCAAACATACACCTGCATCTGTACAAGATGTTCGGTCTTGATTCTCCTAGAAGCTTCACTTTTATTGCTTTCTCCATGTGTACCACATAAAGAATCAATTTCATCAACGAAGATAACTGAAGGAGCATTTCGTGAGCCATTTGGGAAAGATTAGCAACTAATTTCTCGCTCTGTTCAATCCATTTCAAAACAACGTCTGATGAAGATATAGTGCAGGTAAATTGAATGCATTAATATGAATAACTTTAAGAGCAGCCCACATAAGTTTGCATGGTACAGTGCCCACTACACATGTTTGCCAAATGTTGTATGTTATGGCTTCATAAACGCTAGTTCTTACTTGCAATTTTAACATACCAAAAAGATGAGCAGCAATAGTTCACCATACTCTTCCCCGACCCCTGCGTCGCCTTCCCAAGGCGGCTCGGTCGGTTGCCCCAGATCCGCCGCCCCAGTCCCCTCCTCGCCGCCGCCGGAGGAGGCCGCTGGGAAAAGCCGGGCCGGCGGACGGTGGCGGCGGTGCTCCCTTTTTCTCTCGCATGGTGAC